AAAGTCCTATTCCGGTCGTTATTGGTCAATAACAACTAAATGAAATCCGGTCGTCGCCGATCGTTAAAAGCTCCATCGTTAAAGGTTAACGACCGGTTTGAAATCCGGTCGCTAAAATTCTTTAGTGACAATAATAAATTCAGTCGTTATACCACCTTTTAACGACCGAAATTCCCTTCATTGATTGTTACTCCAATCACTAAGAAACTTTAAATACGATGACATATCCTGTCGTTATGAGTGCTTTTTGAATTATTCCTTGGCTAATTATATGTTAATTTTCAGCAATTAAAAATGCAACCATTAAATAACTATGCATTCAAATAAGTAACCAAAACGTACAAAATAATCTGTCCATATCGAATTTCATAGTAAAATAAACAAAACCAAATCATCACTGCCAAAAATATACCAAATTAATAGTATGATATTTTATGTGTTCACTCTTAAGACGAATAAAAATGTAATAGTAGCATATATATAATGGAAACATCTTTAAAAACCTCCAAGCAAAAAATAAGTTTCCTTCCACTTTCAACGTTTTCTCTAATATGTTCTGTTGCTTATACTGGCTTCCACATTCTTCATAAGCAAGTTATCCGATCTTCAAATCTTTTATCTGTTAAAAGAACAAGTTCATGTAAATTTAGTAACAATCCCAATAACTATTTCTTTTTCACAAAAAAAAATTAATCACAGATAAAGAAAACACAACTTTAATAAGTGTCAAAACAAATTTGCTCTACCAGAAAATTAAACTAATTGAAACTATCCAATAAGAAAGCAAACACAATATAGTCTGAAAGGCAACTCCAAGAATAATCAACATAGAGCTTCTAGCAACTGTCCAAATAAATTTAACTAGCAATAGCAAGCAAACACAATTATAGTTATTCATGTGGCAACATTACCACAGTAAACATGAGATATTGAATATATATGATTAATAATACAATTAAAAAACTATACTTCATACGAAATTAAAAGGATGTTTTCTTGGAAAATTTTGTTATCACAACAACTCGAAACATTTAGCTAGTGTTATCACTTCTACATTATGTGCCTTATACTAGGACGAGACTATCTTTTGACCTAGAGATGTACATTTATGCCAACTATTTTATATATTTTTGTTTACTAGTGATAGGACAGATGAGGACATGAAAATCATGATAAGCGAAAGAACTCTTGTGAGCAAATTCAAATACCGCATGTCTATACGTGAAATGTCTATCAGTTAATGTATGATGTGATAACATAGAGTCTATACGTTCTTAGCACGCTCAATTAGTCAGGATACCACTACAGCTAAAACACAATTTCTAACAACACATGAAGGATGTACATAAAAATTATTCTCTATTAGCTATGGGTTTTAAAATCATCCTGAAACATAAGCGTACAATTTCTAACTACTAAAGCCATGAAGTATCATATTGAAGAAAATGTGCATTTCTTAAATAGAACAAACTTTCTAGAGTAATGATTTCTAATCTATCAAATAAAACCTTAAGGTATTTTAGGCAGTAAATACCATGAAGGCTCATTTATAAATTAAATAAGAAATAATTAATGATGATATACTCATGACTCCATACAATTTTGAAGATATAGTGGACATTAAACATGTTAATGTCAAATAATGAAAGTTAACAAATTTAGACTAAGAAATTTGAGATCAAAATCAAATATTGGGTGGGCTACAAAACCTATTTAGAAGCTGCACTTGATAACATATTATGGTATAAGAAATTTCTCAACTTTATCCCAAAAAGGTTGGAAGGCATATGACAGACTAAGAAAATATGAAAACAACTAAAAGCTGAGTAAATATCTCAAAAGGGCACTCAACATTGAAAGGTTATCTATATAGCAAAGTCATTGAACTTTGACTTGTATAAAAAAAAGTCACTCAACTTAGGTCATTGTATTAATTAAATCACTCAACTAAATTTATTATTGGACTATTTAGTGGCATTGGTGGCTATTGTAGGAAGGATAGTGCTGGAAATTTCTAAATCCAAGAAAAAATGTGAAATGAAAACAAAAGCAAAGAAGGGTGAGTTTTTGGAAATTAGTGTTATGGTTGGTAGAAGAAAAATGTCTGTTGCTATGGTCACAAGAACTCATACAACACTTGAAGGACCATGTTTTTCATAGTTTGGGTCATCCGATTGAGATTTGCTAGCTTGTTTTATATCGACATGTAGATGCATCAGTCAATAGGTGAAAAAGTATGGTAAGTGAAGGTTAACAGAGGAGGACCTTAAATTACATGTAAAAAGTTATCTTGAAACATCCACAAATTCTTGGTATCAATGTAGATGAAAGAAAAACATACGATGATATCTATAAGCTGAGGATAGATTTAACTTATTTTCACTTTAATTTTCTTTAGTATGATAAGTTATGAAATGAAATTGAAGAAGTGAGGATTCATTTAGCCAATCCCAACTTATTTGTGTTGGAGGTGTAATTGTTGTTGTAGCTTATTTTGTTGTTTTTAAAGGTAAAATCATTACTTGTATAGTTGCATTTCTGCAAGAGTTAGTACAAAATAATCATGGCCAGCTTGTACATTCTTTTCCTACAATTTAGTTGTGTGCAAATGTCTTTTCAATGATAAATTTTAGTTGAGTGATTTCATTGAGACAACAACATAAGTTGAGCTATCTCATTAATACAAAACAAAGTTTAATGACTTTGTTAGTTAAATTTCCTAAAGTGAGTGGCCTTTTGAGATGTGATATTCTAAAAGCTCCAGTAATGTAAAAGAAATAAAAACTAGCAACTAACACCACATAATTGAGAAGCACAACAGTATGACTTCTAAGACTCAAATAAAAAATTAACCTATAATTTCATTTCAATATAAAAAATTATACAAAATAGTATGCAAACTAGAAGAAGTCCAGAACATATATATGGATCTCAAAATCTAGAATATCATAAATCACCAATAATAAAAATGTATACCCATTTATACTTTGATTTCTAGAGGCAACAACAAATGAATTGCCTCCAAGTTAAAAAGAATAAATGTTAAAACTAAAAATCTATTCTCCAAATTTAGAAATATGCAAGTAAATTTCCAGAATAATAAGTAATGTTCTCGTTATAAATACACTTCTAACGACAGAATTTATGACCCTTCGTTAAAAAGTGGTCGTTAAAAGTGAGATTTCTTGTAGTAAAATTATTTTATTCTGCACTTTTCGACTTTGAGAGCTAGGAGATGACCCCAGGTTCTTTCTTGACAGTTTTCCACCATTCTTGAGGCTAAAGGTAAGGTTTTTCACTCCCCAAATTCATTTTTCGATCCGTAGAACTTAGTTTCATGGGTAATTATTGTTGGGGAAGGGTTTTGGAAATGTTTGGATGGTGGGAAAAGCCCTAATTTGGATATTGGGATCATGGGTTTGATCTAGGGTTGATAGTGTTGACTTTAATCCAGGTAATTAGATATCGTTGATTGATTCTCGTGTTATATTGATTGTTTGTAGACCAAGAACAAGCGGAAAGAATCCGAAAAGGGAAGGATCAAGTTTCTTAGAGAATTCAAGCTTTGTTCGAGGTAGGTGATGGTTGTGATTTCATGTTGTGTGATATATGTTTGTTCTTGCTTCATTATGATACATGTATGTATGCGAATGTTGCATTATTGATCACACTAATCTTAAATAAGGATAGATGAATAATTGAAAGTCATGAATCATGACTTGATAGTATGATTATGAGAATATACTTGTGATTGTGATTGTGGCTTGTTGAATGGATCAGGTGTTGTGTTCCGACACACTAACTGGGATCGGTTGCCACGTACCGGCATAAACATTGGAACGAGTGTCACGATCCGACACCCTAACTTAGAACGGGTACCACGTACCGGTACACAAATAATTTGGGTGTGGGTTCCATGAGAGGACCATTTACTTGACATAACGGTATATCTTGAGAATTGTGAAATTGTACGTTGTTCGTAAATGATGTTGATATTGTATATGTTCAGTGTATGCATGTTAGTATTATTTTGTAATGGCTTATGTATGTTGCACTTAGTGGGATAGCCGTGTGATCCTACCAGTACACTGTGGTTGTGTACTGATACTGCACTTGCTCTTTCTTTGTTGAGTAAAGGGCATCTTCAAGCGACTATTGACAGACCTCGTTTAGAAGATCAGTGATCGTCATCGAATTCAAGGGTGAGCCAGTTCTTCCGGATTGCCATGAGTTCTCTTTTCGTTTATGTCCCCATTTCGGACTTAGACTAGTACATTAGGATTTTCTTATGTTTAATTGAGTTGTAACTATTTTCTTAGACTTGTTCAACTTTAGATGTTTTGGTACATTGACTTTCAGGTTCTAGGGAATTACTTCAGCATTTGTTTTGTTAGACTTTTGGAGTTTATGGGAACTCTATTTTTCTTTAGCATTTAAACTTGCTTCCGTAACTTTAAATGCCTTAGTTTTGATTAAGTTGTGTAGTTCTTTGGTTAGCTAATTAGTATTAATGGTTCTCCCACCGGAGGATTAGTGTGGGTGTCAATCCCGACGGTCTGGGTCGTGACAGCAAATAACATGTTCCAACCAACCAAATGTATTATCATGTCAACTTAAATTTAATTGACCCAAAGGAAAGAGAAATATATTAAAAGATTCACAAAAAAGATATATTTTAAATAGTCAACTAAATATACTATAAAATAAAGGAAGGGTTAGCTAATAAAATAATTCAGAAAATTGCTCCAGGGTGGAGGTATGAGGAAAATTATGCATTTACTCCTAAGGGTAGAATTTGGATGGTATGGGATTCTAAGTATGTGGATTGTGTAGTGGGAAGTAAGTCTGATCAATACATACAAACAAACATAAGGATTAAAGGAAGTGGTTTGGAATTTATGTTTGTGGCAGTGTATGGGCTACATACAATTAAAGATAGACTGATAATATGGGAGGACCTTAGGAGATTGATTGCCACAGCTCAAGGACCCTTGATGTGCATGGGGGATTATAATGCAGTGTTACAAGCTGAAGATAGACCACAAAGTAGTCAAGTACAAGATATAGAGGTTAAAGACTTCAATGATTTCATAATAGACACTAGTTTGCAGGAGATGAAAACAGTTGGGGGCACATACACCTGGACGAATGGGCATACTTGCAGTAGGATAGACAGGGCTTTAGTGAATGCTGAATGGATGATACAAATGCCAATTATGGAGGTGCATATACTCAGACCAGGGATATCTGATCATTCTCCTTTGAAGATTGCACTAGAAAAGAGGAGCCAAAAGAAGTATAGAGCTTTTAGATTCTTTAACTGCATTGCAGATCATACCAGGTTCCTACCAATAGTAAAGCAAGCATGGCAAGGAGAGACAAATGGGAGCATGAAAGTTGTCTGGAAGAAACTCAAAAGAATCATCAGAGCTATTAAAGAGTTGAATAATACTGAATTCAAGGGAGTTAGGGACATGATTCAGACCATTAGAACACAGCTACATCAAATGCAACATGACATGATAGATTACAGGCAAGTGAACGATAAAAAGGACCAAGAGAAGGCACTGAAACAACAACTAGAGAAATGGAGTCTAATTGAGGAGAGTGCTATGAGACAAAAGTCAAGGGTGCAATGGTTAGATATAGGAGATACACACACAAGCTATATGGTTAAATCTAGGAAATGCAAACACAAGTTATTTCTTTGCTTACATGAAGAATAGGCTGGCACAAAATACTATAACTAATCTTACAACTGCTGCAGGTATCAGTGTGTATTCTCAAGAAGAAATTGAAAAGGAAGCTATTACATTTTATCAGGAACTGCTTGGTCAGAATGCATATAGGTTGCCTAATATGGATAAGCAAATAATGAAGGAAGGTGGGAAGTTGAATAGAGAACAACAATTGAAGTTAGCAGCTCCAGTTACAAAAAAGGAGGTGGTATCTGCTTTGCAGGGAATTAATGATCTAAAAGCTCCAAGGAAGGATGGACTCAATGCTGTTTTTTCAAGAAAGCTTGGCCAGTGGTAGGAGAGGAGGTAATTAATGTTGTCCTAGATTCTTTATATAGGGAAATGTACCAGGCAATCAATTGTACAAATGTAACTCTCATTCCTAAGGTGCAGAATCCAACCAGAATTAGTGAATATAGGCATATATCATGTTGCTCAACATTATACAAAATCATAGCTAAAGTCATCACTGCAAGGTTAAAACCTGTTATGGAAACACTAGTGGATCCAAATCAGTCAGCTTTTGTACCAGGGAGGGCTTTGAATGATAATGTGATATTGAGTCATGAATTGATTAAAGGTATGGTAGACAAGGAATTTCAAAGAGATGTATGGTGAAAGTAGATATGAGGAAAGCATATGATTCCTTGGAATGGTCATTCTTGGAACAGATTCTGGAGGAGCTTCAAATGCCAGCCAAAGTCATTCAGTGGATCATGCAATGTGTTACTACAGTCACTTATTCTATCCAGATAAATGGACATAGCACAACTCCTTTTAAGGCCAAGAGGGGAGTGAGACAAGGAGATCCAATGTCTCCTTACCTATTTGTGCTAGCCATGGATTACTTGACTAGAATTTTAAAGAACTTGCAGAAAAATCTTGATTTCCACTATCATCCTAGATGTAAAAAACAGAACATAGTGCAGTTGAGCTTTGCTGATGATCTGCTAATGTTTTGTAGAGGTGATATCAAATCAGTGAAATGTATTAGAAATTGTTTTATGATGTTCTCTAAAGCTTCAGGTCTGGTTGCAAATGAAGAAAAGAGTAGTGTCTATTTTGGAGGAGTTAATAAACAACAGCAAGAGGAGATTCTACAGTAGCTACAATATGTGAAAGGTGAACTACCTTTTAGGTACCTTGGAGTGCCCTTGAGTACTAAAAGGATTTCCATTGTACAATGTAAACCTTTTATGGATGGGATGTTAAGCAGGATTACAAGTTGGACAACAAAGTTTCTATCATATGCAGGTAGAGCTCAACTTATCAAAAGTGTGTTGTATGCAATACAAATGTTTTGGGCTCAGATATTTGCTCTTCCAAAGAAAGTGATACAAACAGTGGAAAATATGTGCAGAAAATTTTTATGGACAGGAAGCATTGAGACTTCAAAGAAAGCATTAGTGGCATGGGACAAGATGTGTTGGCCAAAAGCAAGTGGAGGATTGAATTTCCTTGATATAGATACATGGAATAAAGCAGCAGTTGGCAAGTTATTGTGGAATTTATGCAAGAAAAAGGATAAACTATGGGTTGTATGGATACATAGTTACTATGGGAAAAAAGGTATATGGAATATCCAAGCTCAACAAGCTTCTTGAGTGGTACAAAAGATATTAAAGGCTGCAAAATATTTACAAGAGGCAGGATTTACTGAGGAGGATATGAACAATATGAAACAGTACAACATAAGTAAAGTGTATTGGCAGATGAGAGGTACAAAGGAGAAGGTAGAATGGAGATCACTAGTGTGGACAAATTTTGGTGCCCCTAAATGGTTGTTCATCATGTATTTGGCAGTGAAAAGAAGGACTTGCAACCAAAGATAGATTGGCAAAGTGGGGAATCATTCAGGCTACTTTGTATTGCATAGGGGACAGGCTACTTTTTGATTTGTAACGTTTACTTGGTAAATAAAATGTTTACTTACCAAAAAAAAATATATACTATAAATAGGACACGAAGGAAACAAAACATCATCATCAAGTGACTTACTGAGCATACACAAAAATTAAGATATGGCTTTCAAAGTGTGGACTTTTTTCCTCATGTTTATGATGATAGAGATATGTAAGTCTTTTACTTGATTTGATCTGTTAGTAACGGAGTATCACACACTTCACTCTAATATTTTCTAAGTTAATTTTGAAAAGTTTCTTGTGCTCAAATATGAAATGTGTTTTTCTATTAATTATAGATTCTAACATTTAATTTGATAGGTGTTTTGCCAAAGGTTGAAGCAAAAGGCACTCCCATGTGTTGTTGCAAGACAGACGCAGACTGTAAACGTCTTTGTGGCGATATCCCTCCCTATTTTTGTGATGGTGAATGTGGGCATCGGCCTCCTAAAGGTCGAATTACAGAAACTAGTGAAAACATAAACTGAAGAATTAAAATTTCATAGCGTGAAATAGAAAGGAATAATATATTTGGAATTTAATTTCTGTTTCATGTAACTTGCAACAAGGCATTAGCCAAATAAGAAAGTGTATTGTTTCCTTCCTTTCTGTTTCTATGTAACTTGCAACAAGGCATTAGCCAAATCAGAAAGCTTATTGTTTCCTTCTTTATGGCATATACCTTTATTTTGATAAATAATCTCATATGTTTTTTTTTTTTAGGGGCATTTCGTTATAAAGAGTCTTCACTTCTTCTTTTTTAGAATTGAACTCCAAAAAATACATTTAGCCACAAAACTTTGGAATTCAACTTTAAGTTGAATTCAAGAATTTTATGAACAACAAAAAGTTGTTTTCACTTTTTGCCCCCAAAATTACTCACTCAAATTTTAAAACAACTCCAATTTGTATTCATTGTCAAACACAATTTTAATTTTAAAATATTTTTTTTTATTTTGAAAATAAAAATTATTTTTATCAAATTTAACAATAAAACATGGCGAAACGTCCACTAATTAACAAATCACCTTAACTTAGCACATTAACACCAAATTGTTATACTGAAATTTGGTTGTAAAATAAATGAAATATTGAGTCATAAGCGTAATCACTTATTGTTTGCAATTCAATAACTACATTTTTTCTTATATAAGTAAGGAGTAAGTTTCAGATTTCTGAAGCATGTCATTAGTATTTTTAGCATGGGAAGGTATGTACATTAACATCATATTTACTATATACAACTGTAAAATACAAATAAATTACAAGTTGATTTTGGGGGAATGCGCTATTTACTATATGAATAATGGTTGCCGAATACTTTGTTCTCTATTGAAAATATTATTTTTACAAGATATGTTTAAATTTATTATAAAATTCCATTACCAGTCAAAGGTAAAATTACTTAATTATTTGCTCCTGTTGCATGTAATGCTACTTTGACTTTGTGAAATTTATTTTGTAAAAGGAACATAAGATAAAAATAGATTCATTTAAGAGGTAAATTAATCTACAAAATAAATTATCAACTCTCAAAAGCTCTAAAGGGCAAAAGGCGATTTCCTTGGGGAACGATTATTATATTTGCTCCTTTATTTTTATACCAAATAAGCCTCGCTCACGAGTATCTGAGCAATTTTTCCCATTGCTTTTACAAACTTCCTTCTTGTATCAACAAACCATCACCCATTAATACAACACCAGTAGTATTTGATTTCAAATTCAGAGCAATGCCTATTGTACCCTCTTCAAATTCTACTAATTCACCCGCCATTACTTCATCAAGACCGTGGATCACGTACCTAATTACCAAACGAGTTCATTTTGATATTTTTGAGCTTTTCAAATGATATTTTTCCTTCTCTTTTACAAGCTATTTTATCTTTTTTTCTCTTTTACAAGCTCTTTTATCTCTGTTCAGATTTTGCAGTATTCATGAGTCATTTTTATGACTTTTGGCTCTGAATCTGAATTATTTTCTATTTTGATCCTTTTGCGTCGTATTCTTTTACCATTTCTTTTTGCTCATCTATCAGTATCACTCCCACTTGGAGCAATTTGAGCATGTTCTCGTTCAGTCACATCTGAATGGGATCAAGAAATTAGAAATATGGTTAATATCATTTGATGCGACAACATATATCATAAATTTCTGGTAGAAGGCAAAATAATTTATTAAAAAAGAGTTTACTCCTAAGAGAATTATTACAAGACCAATTTAATTAATATGTGCACATATATATAAACATATGGTTATTAAAAATGTATATTGATAAAGTACCAACCCTTTCCGTACTATATTAATCCGCTTTAAAAATAATCTATAAAGAAATGAAGTGAATTGATGTTTATAAGATTTTCAAAACAAATAATACTCAAAGTCACATTACATGCTATATAAAAAAAAGGGAAAAGGGTCCAAAATACCCCTCAACTTTGTTTTATTAGTTGACTATACCCTTGCCGTTAAAATGAAGTTATTTTTGCCCCTGCCGTCTACAAACTTGTCACATTTACCCCTCAATTGGATGGAAACCCCCAAATCAACAAAAATAACCCGATTTACTTAAATTAACCAATTTTAACCCGACCCAACCCATCTAATATATGACCCGCTTTGTTCATCTTCATCTTGAGATCAAGGCAAAAAACAATGGAGGAAAATATATTTTTAAAGACATGAATAACATTTCCATAACCTAATGGGATTAAGTAAATACAAGTAAGTAAGCCTAAAACCTCAACTTCCCCAACCTTCCTACTTCCCAGACGATTAAACCCATCGTCGTCGTAATCACTGTTCTGGCACCATTACAAAGCCCAAGCAATTCAGTCAGAAGCTTTTATGTCATAATCATGAGATGTTTCAATCGATTTATTTCTAATTCTCTGTATCACCGTTCCAGAA